GTCAGGTATGGGAGTGAGCCAGTACTGGAGCCAGAGAAACTCCAAACTATTCCAGAGGTGTCGGTCTTCCGCTGCATCCATCCACATACTATAGGAATATTTAAAGCGGAAACATGTGTAAACCTGCTGAAGTTTACGAGCATCAGTGTCAACTACAGCAGCCGGTTGGGTGAGTCGTCGTCGCAACCTAAAGCCAGTTAGGCACATAAAGTATTGTCGTAGAGGGCTGTCAGGTCTTTCACGTGCCGCATGCCCCCAATACCGCCAGAAGCGTTGGAGCCAGTGCTGCGCCCATTGAGGCATTCGAGGTAGCTTATCGCAGAGGATGCGTACCCCTCTGCGCCGGGAAACTTCGTTAGTTACCCAGTCGAGAAGCGGATCTGTGGGTAGACGAAGTAAACTGAGGAGTAAAGTATTTCGCATAGAATCTACCTTACGAAGAAGCGTAACTGTGGGAAAGACCGCGGGCGAGGCCCAGAGCCACCTACTACTCACATAGGTTTCAAATATGGATACCTTAGTGCACAAAGAAGATGCAGTAGCATCCATGATGCGTTTGAATGCAAAGAAGCTGCTTTGTGTTTTACGTAGGCAATGGAAAAGGGTGTCTTCGCCCGTCACTTGGAACCCTAGGGGAACCCCCAGAAAGATGAAGGTCTCAGAGACACGTAGAGGGGTTACTGTGTTCACCCCCCAGATGCCATAATGTTCGCCTAAGGGGCCTTGCAGCACAGAACTTTTAGATATATTAATATGAAGGCCGATTGCTGCCAGAGCGCCCTGGACTCTGCGGAGTCTATGCTGAAGGTCTTGTGGGCGGGTCCCAAAAAGTAGGATGTCGTCGGCATATATAAGGAGGGCTGGGAAGGAAACTCCGGAAATGCTAACCGGGGCCACTTGTTGTAAGTCACGGATAACAGAATCTAGTGTCCATGCAATAATTCTCGAGAAGAGCTCAGCGCTGTACGATGTTCCTTGAAGTATGCCTTTGCCTAGTGATTGTTTCCAGGACTGCCCTCCTACCTCCAGTATAACTTCATTGTCAGTAGATAGATGCCAAAGTGCCAGGGCCTCTTTACAGGGAGCGAGTTCCCGAAGATAATGAGCGATTGCCCTATGGGATAACGAATCAAATGCGGCTTTAATGTCGAGTTTTGCAAAACACAGGGGATTACTCGAGCGCTTGCTGACCGATATTGCGGCCCGAGCCGTATTGATTCCATCCATAGCTTGTCTGCCCGGGTGGCAGCCTAATTGGAGGGGGTTACATGCAGGGGCAAATTTACGAATTCTGTAGATGAGGATGCGGCCGAAAAGTTTGGCCACAGTGCTGGTGAGACATATAGGGCGCAAGTCAGCGGGACTAATCGGGAGTTTGATTTTGGGTATGAAGCTGATCCGTCCAGTTTTCCATTCTGGTGGAATGTTCCCTGTATACATAGTGTCATTCAGAAAACTGCAGAACGAATGCTTCAGATCTGTGAGCATCAATTGTCTGAGCAGGCTGTACGGGACACCATCCTCACCGGTGCAAGTCTTGTTATCTAACTTACCCAAGTGCTTGGATATCTCTTCAAGGGTAATGGGTTCAAAGCGGGCGTGACTGTGCTTGCGCAGAAGCTCTTCAACAATGGGGGAGACGGGGGTAACGTCCTCTTGCATATACTTAGCTTGGTAGAACGACTTCACATCAATCTGTGCCTTAGCTGCTCCCCCTGCCCGTTGAAGAAAACCCGCATCTGTCGCCGATGTTGCTGAGCTCCGCTTAAGGAACGATATGGCGGACCTGTCCCCTGCTTGGGCCCGTTGCAGGAGCTCGGTTTTGTGCTCTAGCTTGGCTTGCTTGCGTGCCTCATGTATACATGCAACTAATTTGGAGCGTGCACTCGGGTCGGTTAACTGTTTACGTTGGCGTATAAGTTCATGCACATGCAGAGGATCTTTGTACCGAAGACTGGGAGGCTTAACCGCAGCTTTATCCCTGAGTGTATACAAGGTTGCCAGGTCGAAGGTTTTGTGGCAGGAAGCAGCCGCTTCAAGCCGTCGCGGATCCGTATCCCAGACGCCACACAACGTCCTACGATATTGTGGTCTCGCTAGAGGGTCTTTCGCTGAGCAGTTCACGAGAAGGGCGTTGTGGTCGGAGGGAAGCCCTAGGCGCAAATCAGAACGGTTTTCAGTAGAAGCACACATTCCTAAGCCACGAAAGAAGACAAAGTCAATCTTGGAGGAAGAGCCCCTAGCGAACCATGTATTACCCTCGGTGGGAAGCATGCGCAGGTCATGTTGTGCTATGACGGTCCTGAAGTGTGGCATGCCAGCGAAAGTATCATAATGCAATGTAAAATCCTGGTTAAGATCAACTGAAAGAAGAACCAGATCGTGAGGCCCCGCTACATGGAGGATATCTGAAATTTCAGGGGTGCCCTTTTCCCATACTGTTTTAGCATCCTCACGTTTGGAGTGAGGGAGGTGGAAGGTACACAATAGTATAGGTCGCCCGCCTGTTGGCTTAAGATAGACGCCCAGACCAACCGAAGAAACATAGGTTGACTGCACATACTCCGAAAAGGGGTGTCGAATGAGGATGCACACATGTCGAAAGCTTTGAGCTGAATCAACATGAAAGCAAGAATATTTCTCGCTACCAGACCAAACCGTAAAGGAGAGGGCCGAATTAGGAGGAGTTTTTCCAAGTCCCCCAACTTCTTGCAACAGAACAAAATCAGGCGGATGAATTATGCCTTGCATAGTGTCAAGAACCTCTTGGACCGATTTACCACGAACATTCCAATGCACGGCCTGAGCATCGAAGACCGGCCTGCTTCGAGAGGCATGTCGAGCTGCCCCAGTTTCGCACGTGTCCCTGTCTCTGCCACCTTCCTATGCATCACAGGTCTGCATAACCTCGTCCACTCCACAGCCTAAGAGGCGGGCGACATGTGCCACATCTATGTACCAACCATTGTGCGACCCTCGTACATCAGAGAGTGGGTGGTGTTCAGCAGGCGGCGTTCGCTGTGCTGCATGAAAGAGTATATTCTCCCCGTCTAGGTAAACTCGTCCTTTCCATTCGAATTCCGTCCTAGATTCTGGGGACGCAAGCTTGTGCATGATTTCACGGGTGCGCAAAATACTACGTATCATTTGTCGATCCTCCGGTGATCGGTTCCTTTGGAACCACAAACGATTGCCCCCCTGGCCTTGGATTTTCGTCGTATAGGTGTCCTTAAGGACTTGTAACACTTGCGTCTGCATAGCTCGGCGTGCACTTAAGTCTGCAACAGGGGGGAAATTCAGTTCGATACGCACAATATTTGAGCGCAAGTACGGCACATAGACTTCCTTGAGTACCTGAGGACCACCATGGGATGCGAAGAACTCGCGGACTTCCTGCTGTAAGTCCACCCGTTTAGCATTGGTAAACCCACCGATTACTATTTGTAAGTCATCGATCGGCTTGCCTCCGATACTGGAAGCAGTGGTGGACCCCAAACCACCACCCCTGGGGGTGTTGCCGCCCATACTGCGAGGGGTAGAGGGCGACGGGGGCCGGGACTTAAGCGCTGACAGCTCTCGTTCCAAGCGGGTAATCCGTCCCTCTGTCTCTGCATGCATCTTCTCATGTGCCTCAGTTCTAGTCTGCAACGTGTTGATGCAGGCCGAGTTTGCTCTGGTAGCTTCCGTGCATGACGAGAGTTCGGAAAGAAAACGATCCTGCTGTGACACCAGCTTATGCAAGTCTGCCTGTAGCGAAGACAGCCAAGGAGGGTTGCTTGGAAGTGCATGCTGAGGGTTGTTAGGCAGAGGTTGCGGGGGTTCATGGGTTGGTTCAGCTGCTGTCGGTTTAGCCTCACTCAAGCCTGGGGGACCCACAGTATCAGTACGGGCACCAGCATTTCTCCTGGGTCCTCTACGGGGAGAGGGCAAACCGGACTGTAGGTTACCTGCAAACTGCGGCGGGGCAAGGGTGGTAGGACCTGCGGGTTTACCGAAATCAGGAGACTCCGTATGCCTAGGGGGAGGAACAGGTGGGGCAGAAGGGAGGGGAGTACTACCTGCAACCAATTCAGGAGGTCCTACGGACTTACCATCAATATGATGAAGTTCGTCGTCATCTGCTTCGTCATTGACCGTGAGATCAAATTCCGCAATGAAGTCCGGGCTGGAGCGCTTCTTTTGGGGGGAGTCTAGGGGAGGCGGTAGGTTGGCTTCGTCTGCTGTCCTAGCTTTGTTGGTATCCACTACCATTGCAGCCATTTCATTAGGTGCCGGGAAAGTAAAGGTAGGATGACCATCCAATTCGCCTACGTGAACTGGTCCGCCTAATGCGGCAGTAAGAGCTTCTCTTGCAGCATCAATACTGTTAGGGGAAGCAGGCTGAGTGGCTTGAGAATCGGGCCGGCCTAAGCTTTCGGTATCTACAAAAGGGATGGGTTTACGATCATCAACCCAGCCCATCTTCTGCTTCCAGTCCTCGAAGGGTTCAAGATGAGGCGGTTCGGCCCTGTTCACCCCAGCAGCGACCCTTGCATTAAGCCCAGACAAAGCATCAGACATGGCTCAAGACAGGGACAAAACCAGTCACCAAAGACCCCTCGATCCCAAAACAGAGCAAGAAAGACTCACAACGCACCCTTCACCGCAGCAACTACAGTAGGAGTGGGTAGCGGCAGCGAGCACACGCAAGTAGTAAGTACTGGGGGGAGGGGGAGTATGAGGTATTGCCTACCCTGGAGCGGCCTCTACACCCACAGCGGAGCACGGCCTTGAGCCAAAATGGCTTGAGCCAAAATGGCTTGAGCCAAAATGGCTACGGCATACTTTACGTGGTGAACTTCTTGGGAAATCACACAGGGTAGTTTGTCGAAGCACGGTTGGGGTTTAGGGTGTTCGGGTTTAGAGGCAAATCAAATAACCTTAAAGCCACTCTTATCGACTCATTGAGTCCCTTCGTTCTTCTGATGGGTTCACGTCTGCTGGACCTCAAAGTGACTAGCCTGGGAGAAAGGAGACGTAGAGGGGCCGGAAAGCCGCGCCATGCAGCATCGCCGATGCCGAGAGATATGGGCTGGACTTCTCCTGCACAGGATGCAAAGCCAGAAGTTCAGCAGACTTGAAGTTGCTTGAAGACTAGGTTCGGGAGTAGCTCCTTTACAATAAGGGTAATTGCCCTTGTTGTCCTACTGTTCGCTTTCAATAAGGGGACTCTCTAAACTCAAACATAGCAAAAGGGTACTACTCAGGAACCGAGAGCATGCTTTAGAGCATGCTTTAACACCCAGGCCCCGAGAAAAGAGGCGACGCGAGGCCTCGAGGAGGCTGTGCAAGGCATCCGTGCTCTCCTCAGCGCCGCATGCCAGGAGAATATCCTGACATTGCAGGGATTGCAGGGACCGTCCTTGTAGTGGTTTATAAAACATGATAAAACACTACAAAGACATTGCAGACATTGCAGGGACCGTCCTTCTCCCTATAAACCTTTTGCCACTGGACTCAAGTCTAGCCGACCCTTTTTGCATCCGGGCTTGGGGAGTCGGCAAAGTCAGATTTCTAGCCAACCCTAAACCCTAAACCCTCCCTGGGCCGAGTATTTTGGGGTCGGGCCGGTCCTGTGCTGGAAGCCACTGGATACAGCGGAAGCCCGCGAGCTGCACGAAGTTGGCATTGTCCTGCCCAGCAGAACAGAATCTAGAATCTGGCGGGTGATGTTTCGTAACCCTTTCTTGTGGTTCATCGTGGACCGACATTGGCTCTACTGCGATCACGGCATTACGCATTGGAGCTTCGTGGTTTGAAATACATGCTGTGCCAGCAAAGCCATGCTGCAGGTGGGTACTGTACCGGTCCTGACCCTCGTCTCCCGCCATAAGCGATTGGAACTCACCTCAGTGAGCTGGGGCTACTGCGGCAAAGCAGCGCAGCACCACCCCAACCCGAAGACCACACACAAGCGCTGTAACCCCAACAGCGGGAGCCAAACCGGTGTAGGGTCCAAGGGCGTCCCAGCAACCGGCCACTTGTCCCTTCGCACTACCACCCCGCACGGAAACGCACAGCATTACTCGTAGCAGCTAGGACTCTACTCACGCTGCGGGCTTCAACACATGCGTCCAATGTCCTGTCGGGTTGCGTGCTGTCGCGGCGAAGCGCCCGCCAGGATCAGCAGTGAACCCTGCAAGGACAGCAGGCCTTTTCTCATGCAGTTGTTTGTATCACTACTCTTTTCGCAACTGAAGCTACTTATCATAAAAGACTGAATGCTAACCTTGACTGTGACATTGTTTTGGACGGCGCCGGCTCGGCTGAACTGTCGATGTCGCACGGTCGCGGCTGTTTCAATATCACAGCACTACAAGCACTGAAAGCTCACGCCACAATGACGTACTTACAGGGCACACAAGATAATCATGGAGAGACCTTCAACATGCGATCGGAATTTGGGATGTCATATTTTAGCTGTATGGATATACGAAAAAGCGATACTAATCAATTACCACTTGTGATGTTCAAGCCCATGTGAATAATAGCCGGTACACAACCCCAATAGTTGCAAGCTCAGCGATCCCATATTTGGGAATTATATAGAGTCTTTTAGAGAGGACACCATGATTACCCCACCTACTCCTTCACACAAGCAGTAACCCTCCCCAAACCCACCCTCTCTCCCTGAGCCGTCCTCTGATAAAGTCTGCTTGGCCATCAGGATCTACCTGCTGACGAAATCCCGCAAAGGGGCACACAGCCATGAACTTGTTAAGTTTATTCTGCGTCGGCTCGACTAAGCTGTAATTACCCGGCAGCCTAGTTGGGACAAGCAGTACGATGACGAAGTAACTTAATCGTTGATAGCCCTTCTTGTGCCACAGGCCATCTTCTCTTGTTCATACATCTGTCATGCAACGATTGCTGCGACGGCCTCTTGCGATTCTACTGCTTCATTTTGCGTTAAACCCTTCTTCTGTGCATGCGCGCAGGAACTATACAGGTGTGTGCTAGCGCATGCGATCACCGGTTGCTGCATTGTGAGATGTGCGTGTAAGTTGCTGCGCACTTTCGCATGCTTGTTTCCCACCAACACGCTAATTCATGCGCTGCTTCACGCTTAAACATACGAAACTCTGCAGTCATGAGCAGACAGACACATGTTTCTGAATTCGATTGATAGGACACAAGGTGGGCTTGAAATTAAGCGTACAGAGATCATACGATGCACAATATTGCGCATCAGTGCCATGAAGTGCCATGTTTCAGCACATCGTAGTTGGCAACTGGCGATGCTCAAGACTGATCACCGTACTGGCTGCGAAAATAAAGGAACCCTGTAGTAGTTGTCAGTGAGGTGAATTCGGGCCTGCCGCGGTGGGGCACGCTGCAGCTCCTCTTGCGGGCATGTCCGGCTGACCGGCTAAAGCTTCACCGACTCACAAGCCACGTTACGGGACTAGTAGTGTAGTAGTAGTAGTAGTAGTAGTAGTAGTAGTAGTAGTAGTAGTAGTAGTAGTAGTAGTAGTAGTAGTAGTAGTAGTAGTAGTAGTAGTAAGGCATCCCCCGCCGGTGCGACGCCCAAACCTCTTATTTTTGGGACTTGCTGTGGTCGGAAATGCTGTGTTTTACAGCACTTCTTTTCCGCAGTTATCGAAAGTGGCAACTGTTCCTGGTTTCGTGTGTATTTTTATCATATTTTCGAACATTGTTCATCAATCTCGCACCCGAAAATGCTGGTATTTACAGCACTTGTCTTTGCGAATTTCATGATCTTTTACTGTTTTTGGGTGTCTCGATTTTCGTGCCCAAAACCTAGCGATCAGAATCAAGGTTTTTGGGCCTCATTTTGATCATGATTTTCATTCAAATCGTTGGTTTGGAGAGCATCCATGTCCAAAACCTAATGACGTCCATGGTCTAGCGCATTTTGGTTTGGAGAGCATCCCTGTCCAAAACCTAATGACGTCCATGGTCTAGCGCATTTTGGTTTGGAGAGCATCCATGTCCAAAACCTAATGACGTCCATGGTCTAGCGCATTTTGGTTTGGAGAGCATCCATGTCCAAAACCTAATGACGGCCATGGTCTAGCGCATTTTGGTTTGGAGAGCATCCATGTCCAAAACCTAATGACGTCCATGGTCTAGCGCATTTTGGTTTGGAGAGCATCCATGTCCAAAACCTAATGACATCCATGGTCTAGCGCATTTTGGTTTGGAGAGCATCCATGTCCAAAACCTAAGGACGTCCATGGTCTAGCGCATTTTGGCTTGGAGAGCATCCATGTCCAAAACCTAATGACGTCCATGGTCTAGCGCATTTTGGTTTGGAGAGCATCCATGTCCAAAACCTTTCGAAATGTTGCTTCTTTGCATCGCCCCGAGCGGGGATGGTACTTTCCACTGCTCTCTAACAGCTTACTCTGTGGTTCACTAGCCGCATCTTGGACCGCGACAGCTGTGATGGAACATGTTGTACATCCACGAACTCAGCGACCGGCGTCGCACCAGGGGGGGAAGGCCTAGTAGTAGTAGTAGTAGTAGTAGTAGTAGTAGTAGTAGTAGTAGTAGTAGTAGTAGTAGTAGTAGTAGTAGTAGTAGTAGTAGTAGGAGCAGTAGTACTAGTAGTAGTAGTTGTGGTAGTAGTAGTAGTAGTAGCAGCAGTAGTATTAGCAGTTTCAGTAGTAGGTAGTAGTAGTAGTAGTAGTAGTAGTAGTAGTAGTAGTAGTAGTAGTAGTAGCAGTAGCAGTAGCAGTAGCAGTAGCAGTAGTAGTAGTAGTAGTAGTAGTAGTAGTAGTAGTAGTAGTAGTAGTAGTAGTTACTAACCAACACCCGGAATAACCCAAGCTAACATTAACAAGTCCATAAAGGAGTCTCCGAAAACACGAGACCCCAATATAGTACCCCAAATATAGGGTCCTTATTTTAAGGACCCCAAAATAAGGTACCCCCAGATTTTCGGAAACTCCCATAGCTACAGTGCGTGTAGCGCAGCATGAGCACAGCGATGCTAGCAGGAGGAACCGCTCTCCTCGCGGGCGGCTGCAAGAACCAAGATCTCTGAAACCCGCGGGAAGAAGCGAGATATGGGCCTTGGTACACCGGTGTCTGTGTCTGCTATGAGGGATCTGAATTTTTGGGGACGTAGCTAAGTAGCACCCATCGATGCGATCACAATCTAGCCCTCGAGACTTGTAGTCGACAGGTTTCGTGTGCGGGATCAAGGCCACAGCTCAGCTGCACGATCCATGCACAGCATCATATGGGTGGTTGTCAAAATTATGGTCCCTTTTTGGGTACCCTATATATTAGGTGCCGTACTGTATTAGGGACCCAAAAAGGGACCATAATTTTGACAACCACCCATATACTTTAAACCTTAAACGCTAGATTAAGTTGCAAATGAAAGCTTACTTGGACTATCGGTTCAGCTTCCGGAGTTTCTCAAGCTCCTAGCTCGTAAACCCCAGCAAGAACTGACGAAAGCTGGCCTGCACGCATCAGTTCCCGACCGTCAGCTCCCAATGGTGCCCTCCAAACACTCCCTCCCTGAAGTTTTGCAAGCCCAGAGAAGTACGTACGCAATTGAGTGGTTCATTGATTCATTCGCCTATAGGATTTAAGATATTAGTATTATTACTATTATTACTATTATGACTATTATTACTATTATTGCTATTATTACCATTATTACTATTATTGCTATTATTACTATTATTGCTATTATTACTGTTATTACTAATTATTACTACAGACTCATTCTTGTGGGAGGCCCTGGAGGTCCTAAGTGTAGTGGCTGCCAGGATACACCGCTGGCCGGATAAAAGAGGTCGGTATGGCCGAACCCCATTCGGACAGGTCCTGGCAGGGTTTAGGGTTTAGGGGTTTAGGGTTTAGGGTTTAGGGGTTTAGGGGTTTAGGGTTTAGGGTTTAGGGGTTTAGGGTTTAGGGGTTTAGGGTTTAGGGTTTAGGGGTTTAGAGATTAGGGTTTAGGGTTTAGGGCAGCAGGGCTCCCCAAGCCATTTGATTGAACAAGCTTATATCAAATGTGACAAGCAATACATTGGACCTGCAGCCCTTCTTGCGCTAAGCTCAACTGGACCTTTGCTTCCGGATCTGGGTTCTAACTTTTCTGCCTACGCATTGCTCTTCACATCGTCTAGTAAGTAGTAATACCAGCTGGCAGGCTAACTCGCCTCACGTGTCCCAACGCAACTCCAAACCCAGATTTTCTTCTTTCAAACGGTGTTTGACCTTTTGCATTTCTTCATCAACCCTGCTCATCCCATAGATACCCTCTTGGCCCGAGATCCTTCAAAGCCCTCCGCTGCGATGCATTCAGGATCTCTCTTACATCGGCTCAGTTATGCATCGAGCCGCAGCTGCAAAGCTTTTTCCAGGCAAGTTGTGTTCAATGCATGAAAGCACTGAATAGCCCTGTACTAACAGAGATCATGACAATGATTGGTTGACTGCCAAGCCCCCACGGTCCTGGCACGCACTCGGCCCGGATTCGTAGATACACCTTCCAGGTTTCATGGGGTGAGAACAGTAAGTCAGGGTTGTGAGCCTAATTATACGGTCTGGAGATGTCTAGAGTGCACACAGGGCTTGAATGGGCCGGATGTAAAGGAGAGATCTTCGACTTTCAGTACACTGCAGGCGAAAACATATAGGTGGTTATCAAAATTAGGGTCCCTTTTAGGGTACCCTAAATATTAGGTGCCGTATTATTTAATGAGCCAAAAAAGGACCCTAATTTTGACAACCACCCTTTTATCAGAAGCAGCTGGTGCTATCTAAGCCAACTCCGAATATCCAACGGCTTGCCATAGCTCAAGTGGGACCATCCTACACTGATCCCACGGGCGCGGCTCGCTACAAGTATGTCGACAACTTCGGACAGCTGCCATAGGCACCGTGTTGTGCGCCCTGCGCTGGCAGCCCCTTTCAGCTGTGCCACCACGGCCGCGTCCACCGCGGCGCCTGGTTAGCGGGAAAGGGTCCTTGTGGCAACTTCCGATTCGAAGGCTTTCGCGAAAGGACCTGACTCATTGACGTGAGATTCACGAGGACGAAACCAGGATAGCAGAAGAACCACCGTGGCTCGAGATGCCAGATTTCAGGTTCGCCACGTTCGATAGACTACTGCCTGGAACACAGAGACTTTACCTTTGAAGCTAGAGCCTCCTCCTCGCGTGGCACAGTGAAAACATGGACCGGGTGTAGAATCGGATGCAAAGCGATGCAAGATGAAGAGCCATAAGGACATCCTTGGACTTGGACCCTTAAATAGACCCTTATACGGCGAAGCCATAGGCCCTGAGACCCACGGCCTGCGGCGATGACGAAGAAGACGCAGCGACACTCCGTGGCCTCCTGCGCTGCTTGCAGACTCAAACATCGCTTGCTCAACTTAGTGAAGGCTACGGTTTATCTATATAAAGGCTACAACGCACTCCAAATTCCCAAACCCAAACCGTAAAGGCTTACTAAACACTAGACCCGAAAGGCCCCTAAAGGCCCCCCCAAAAGAGCGGCGAACCTCGATGTTCAGGCGCCCCGGCTCGTCTTCGCCGACCTGATGGTCACCTCAAAAGGACATAATTTAGGGTTCCTTTAAGGGTTTAGGGTTCCTTTAAGGGTTCCTATAAGGGTTCTACAAGGGTTTAGGGTTTTGGGTTTACGGTTTAGGGTTTGGGTCCTGTTAAGGAGTTTTAACTTTTAAGTTACCACTATAAGGACCTATAAGGGTCCCAGTAAGGGATCTATAAGGGGTCCTTTCGGCGCTCACACTCGGACAATCCAGGCGAGGCATGTGGTTCGCGGTCTGTGCAGTAAAACTAATCTAAGGGGTCCTTTCAGGGTTTAAGGTTTACGGTTTAAGTTACCATAATAGGGATATTGTGTAAATCATCTGGTTTCCGAGATTGAATTTTAGTTACCAAAATAACGAAGCCAAATATTATTCACAAAATATCCCCATTTTGTGGTAAGTTTCAGCAATCTCCTTTAACAAGAACCCAGTTTAAGGCTGGTAAACAGGGTATTTGTCTAAGACTTCTATACTTATCTAGGGTCTTGAAGGCTTGTGTATTTAGGGTTTTGTCCCTCCTACTTAGCAAGGACAAGGCCCGCTTTGCATTTAGGGTAAAACCGAAACCCTAAACGCAGTGCGGGCCTCGTCCAAGTTTAGGGTTTTCTTTAGGGGTTGTGGGTTTGTGGGTTTCTACTTGGTTTACGGTTTCGGCGCTCACACTCGGACAATCCAGGACTGCGAGTTTAGGGTTTAGGCTCAAGGTTTTTAAAGGAAGCTTCGGCGGGGGGGTGCTTGTTCAAGCTTTCGCAGACCGAGTCCTGTTGCTTGCCCGAGCCCGTTCCGTCACTTCGGAACAGTTTCCCAAGACGTATTTCCTCGCTCGACGTAAACAATCTCATGTCTTGCACCTCTGGCCTTGTTGTATCCCCGAGGCCCTAAACCCCATAGATCCCCTAAAACAACCCTTATAGCACCCTTTCAAGGAACCCTACACCCTACAGTCAAAGCCAGAAAGTTGGAATATGGTTATCCTAACCCTTCTATGGTAAATTATAGGGTATCCTACACTGAAACCATATTCCAACTTTCTGGAGTTCCCTGTAAGGTCATCCCTGTAGTTTTGACCGCGGGACTTGTGTGGGCGACCTGGATTTCACGAGATTAGAGGCTCCCTTTGAAGCAATAGTAACAATAGTAATAATAGTTCATAATAGTAATAATAGTAATAATAGTGATAATAGTGGTAATAGTGATAATTGTGATAATGGTAATAATAGTAATAATAGTAATAATAGTAATAGTAATCATATCATTCTGAAACGGACCCTATACATCATCCTAGTATGTGGGAGTTTCCGAAAATTAGAGGTACCGTTTTTGGGGTCCTTATTATAATAAGGATCTAAATAGTAGGGCACTATGTTAGGGTGCCTTATTCTTGGAGACTCCCATCTCGTGTCCCCGTGCGCGTACTTCATTTCCTGGAATGCCCCTGTACCGATGAGGGCCTGTGCAGCTAAATCCACCGCGCTCGAGGGTGCCGGCCAGCCGCCTGCAAAAGCAAGTTCAAGAAGTCCCCTATTTCAGGTGGGTTGAACGGAATCTTAAGTAGCAAGAATGCTGGGAGACAAAACAGAAGCACACACGCGAGTGGTGTCGAAGCTTGCAGCTTACGACTTACGAGGAGAAGGTCCAGAGTGTAGAGACGTCTCAACGAATTTCAAAAGCCAAAGGATCAAAACAGCCGACCACTCCCCTGAAGGGTTCCGTGCTGCAATCACCAAGACTTTGTCTGGGATCTGAACATGACCGTAGCCCAAGAACAGCTCGCAAGCACTAAAAGTTCAACCGTCTGACTTCCGGTGCCTTGCTAGGAGGCGATCCGCCTCCTCGCCCCCCTGACACAGTGGGCTTTTCATGGCGCTGACACTGAACTATCCTGTTTTTTGGGTCGAAGGGCAGGAAGGCAAATAGATAGGTCCACGTGCTGACGGATGGATGGATAGATGGATGCATGGCAGTTGCAATGCCTGCTTTACTCAAAGCTTGCCTTGCACGCCACTTAGATTGTGAACCTGGGGAAGGAGCCAGTGAATCGCGAATCTACTTGGAGGACCCGGAAACCTAGTAAGTAAGGTTATTATAAGTGCCTAATTATGAATCTAGCTACCTTATTTATCACCCTATTACTTACGCTCTCGCAACTCGGACAAGCCAACCCTGTTACTTACTAAGTCGCATGATCCTCCAAATAGGCATCCGCCCCCTTCCGTCCTGGGAGATGCCGACCACGTAAATGTCGGCATGCCTCCGCATAGGGCCTTGAGAAAACTTTCTGCTGCGCTACATTACACGAGCCTTTTTGCATGCCATAATTAGTCGAGAGTGATGACAAAAAAGTACTAGGTTACGAGCGCGTAATGCTGACACATGTGCAGAACAAAGATCCCGAGTGAGCTCCCAGAATTGGCGAGACTCTGGCGAGACGGCCCTTACATGGACCCACTTTCACAGCGTGCACACGCATGCACGCGCACACACGCACACCCACTGAAACGCACACACGCCCACTAGTCCAAAGGCACATGTACAGCAACACACTCTCATAAGTTCGGGCCGCGAAGCCAAAGCACTGCTATTTCGCAGCACTCATCGACCCACACGCGGGTTGGACTGTGAGCCGGAACATAACGGGAAATGTAATGAAGGATGCACACATGTTACATTCGAGTTTGTCGGACTCGAGTGTATTCCATTTCATGGCGGCTCGTCAAGGGTTGCAATTATGGGAGAGGGCGTGTCCAGTTCGCAGAGTAAGGGTACACGAGAGAGATTCTGCCGGCATGTGGTCTCGCGGCATACATGCTCTGTCCCACTTCGAGAGAAGCAGAAGCTACATTGACCAAGTCTTTCCTTCATGGCCGGCACCAGGCACTCGAACTGTCCGAGGGTTAGGCCTTAGGACCCTCTAGCTTGGCAAGGAGTCTTCGCAAAGCAAAAGAAAACCTGGGCTGGATCGATCACCCGTTGCACCCATAGGAGGGGTCTGTCGGATGTGAGATGATGTGAGTCGTCGGACTCTGCAGTATGCACTGCAGCCATCGACCACCATCACATGAAAATCCACACACTTCCGGCGGAAGGCAGATGATTTCGCAGGCCAAGCAAGTCTAGTTGATATCGGGCTACCTCGTCTGCTTCTCTGTGATCGCCCATGGCAAGGCATGGTCGTGCCCGAGACCTCCTTCTCGGCATCGCTTCGCGATCCCGGAGGCTCGACCCAGAATAGAATCTGCTGCTTCGGACAGGAGGTCTGCAGGTCTGGAAGTGGAAATTGACGGAATCTTTCCGGCGCTTGTGTCCCTTTTCCGTGCCCCATGGCACATCAAGGAGTTCGTCTGCTCCCTCTCTGGGGGGTTTACCAGCTGCCACAGTCAGGTGAATTCAAGTGACCTGAGCATCTTGGCGCATGCAGGGCGGCGTCTGATGCGTCTCTACTCCGTGAAGCCGGTTGATGTCGTACGCGAAGGGAACTTTAGGCGGATCCTCTCGGCATGGAGTCTCCTTGTCCCTGTTGGCCTGCCGATACGCATGCCTTTCTGCGGGCCACGCAAGCTGGGAGGTGGCTTTCTTGAGCTGCTGATGAGCGGTATGGATCCTGCCATCATCGCCCTGCCAGCCTCAGCCTTGGCCATCGAAGTCCTGGGTGAGCGAAACAACGATAACACGAGCAGACAGTTCGCAAGGATATCGGATTCAGACATATCATTCTTGATAGAATCACAAATTTCTGAATGCCAATCCATGCGAAAAATATCCAAGAGTCAGTGTTGAACAGCCCGCCCTACAAGAGGCCTCGAACCTACGGTCAAACATACATGAAACACTGCAACAATGCCAATGCCCTAGATTCCAAGCGCAAAGCTGCACAACCCCAAACCCCTAAGCCCAAAACCCGAAAATACCCAAAACGTCAAGCCCTAAGCTCTACCTGGGCCCTAAAGAACCTACCCTTTTTAGGGTTCCCTATTATGATTTCCTCATATAAGTCCTTAACACGGTAGGTTATTTGGGGTCAAGGTACTCTTTGCCCGGGGCACCCATCCTCTGCGCATCAGGTGCCCTGTTGCAGAAAATACCCAGAAGCTCTCCGGATCGCCATGTCATAGAGGGTCCCGTCCTGCAGAGAGCTTCGGGGTTTTGGGGAAAAAGGGCTGGAGGGCTTGGGATCTTGATAAAGCTTGATAGGAATGGTTTTAGGGCCGGTAGGTTTCTGTAAATGTTGAATATTCTGGGGTTTCTTGAGAGTGTTGTATTTGGGGTAACATCGAGGATCCTACTAGAAGAGTTTGTGTGTCTCGGTTAAAGGTTCCTTATTGGGAACTGTGGCTATTTATGCTTGCACCACTACGTACGTCTATGTATCCACGGGCAGGTACTGCAAAACAGCTTCATCCTTCATCAACGTGGAAACCTACCTGCAATGGTCCAAGCATAGTAACCGCCGTGGAGCACAAAGCAAGTGGTCTGGAACTGGAAATCCGGAGGTGAGTTCGGGCTTCAGAACATGGATGGTGCCATGACCACTGCGACGCGCACCCTAAACCCTAAACCCTACCTTGTTTGGAGATTTCTGGCCGCAGCCGCACCAGCTCTTCTGATCGAAGCTGACGCCGCAAGGCGCAATGCAGCCCTCGTCAGGAAAAGGGGCGAAGCCAGGAGCCCGAGGGGTCGAACTAGAGTATACTGCTGCTAGTACAATAACAATACGGGAGTTTCCGAAAATTAGGGATACCTTATTGTGGTCCTTGTAATAAGGATCCTACTATTCAGCACTCACAACTAGACAGGGTACTATACTAGGGCCCTCTATTTTCGGAAACTCCCATATGATACAATGTGACATGCTGTGTCAAGTGAAACTGACCCCCTGACCCTATTATCACATGTGGTGCGAAACCCTGGCTGCGGATGCCTCGTAGATTTCCATGAGCTTGTAGTTCCTGCGTGTGGGGGTAGCAGAGACTTCAGTCGAAGCTGCAAAACGAAAAAAATTCGGTAATGTGGGAACCTGATTAGATTAAGGAACCTTGGGCCTTTATTAGGGTTCCTTGTATGAATCCTACTATTTTGGGGTTATAGGCCCAGGGTTTCTTTATCAGGCTCCTACATCATGGCTCAAATGGGCTGGGCAATTGGGGTTCGGGCCCACACTTCTGGGTGGACCGAACAGACACAAACGAGCACACGAATGTGCTAGTAGTTACTCTGTATGATCCCCCCCCTATGCTTGCAGTCGAAACGTCTCTGTCGGCCTTTGCACATGCGCAGATTGATATTTCAGGCAAATACAAATAAACAAATAAACAAACACACACACACACAAAGACACACACTGCCACGCAGCATATGCACACATTTGCGTGTGTGCGTGTAAGTCTATGTATGTCAATGTAGGCATGCAAACATTTTCGTTCAGGCTACCTCTATCTACCTACTTACCTAGATGCCTGCCTGTCCACCTACTGGCTATCTTCTCCATTTCGATATATAAGGTGCATGTACCTGTACATATACATCTAAGCCAACAAACAGCACGGGCATCGACAACCGAACTAAGTAGGATACTTACATACTGTTGTTCTTGCACCCCGTAGTTATCTCTTGAGTTGCCTGCTGCACTGTTCGGAATTTGCCATACTTGGTATGCAGCCGGCCGCTTATCACGGCAGCAGCTCGCGTGCGGATCGTCTCTTAGAGGCCCTCTGCTTGGAGCTTATACCCTGAGGCTCCAAAGTAGTTCTTTTTTGGGGTTGATATATAGAATCCTATAAGGTAATCCCAGAAAGGAACTACTATGGAGCCTCTGGGTAGTGGGCAGTTCTAACACATGGGTAGTTGTCAAAATTACCTAGCGGGTTCACTTTCGGGGGTGGTTTTTCCTGTTGTTTATGTGCCTTTGTATGCCCTTCTCCTTCGCACGGCCCTTCCGGCACATGGAAAACACCGCCCAGCGCGAGGATTTCGCCTTGTTACATGTGTTCCGCTCTTGGTAGCCGAGTGTTTTGTCTGATTCGCGCTGTCTTTTTTTTGCACCAAAAACGACGTCGTTTTGGGTAGTACATTTTCGGTTGCGAATTCGTCGGAACATCGAAAAACGTGGCCTGCGTGCTGTATTCCTGACTTTCTGCAGGCATGTTTTTGGGATGTCTGCCGCTTTGCGTTTTCTGCGTTTTATGCGTCGTTGTTGCTTTCGGTCATGCGCTCTGCTTGCTCTTTGGGGGGGGGGGGGGGGGGGGGGGGGGGGGGGGGGGGGGTGGGGGGGGGGGGGAGTAATGACGTTCTGTTCAAGCGAACACAAATCAAGCTGCGAAGTTTCCTGTGCAAGCGTGCTACTGACAGGAAACAGAACAACGAAGAAACATGGGAACCCCGACTCACACGAGATACGCGAACACAAATCAAGCTCCAAACTTCCCTGAACTTTTCTGCGTTGTTTGCGTCGATTTTGTTTTCGGTCATGTGCTCTGCTTGCTCTTTGGGGGGGTGGGGGTGGGGGGGTGGGGGTGGGGGGGTGGGGGGTGGGGGGGGGGGGGTGGGGTGGGGGGGAGTAATGACGTTCTGTTCAAGCGAACACAAATCAAGCTGCGAAGTTCCCTACGCACAGCCAAGGGTTTGGCATGTTGTTCTACAGCCTGAACTCCAAACAACTGCATTACATCAGCATCGTCATCATCACTGCCGGCATCACCATCATCATCATCACCATCATCATCATCACCCACCATCATCATCATCATCATTACACACCACGTGCATTACATACAACTCAGTAATAGCAATCCCCAGAACAACCAGTTATCACTACACACGAAACAAGTTCACGATACATGCTATCCCAAACCCCTGCCCATGAAAGTTTTTCCCAGTACGTAAAAACACCGAACCCCGAAAAAACGATACAAAACCACCCCCGAAAGTGAACCCGCAGGGCAAAATTAGGGTCCCTTGGGTACCCTAAATATTAGGTGCCTAGTTAGGGACCCTAATATTGACAACCACCCATGTAGGACTCAGACTAAAATCAAAAAGCCAAAACTGATAAGCATGCTTCTGAACGTGATTCAGTTGCTTGGAACCCCTGGACACGATGCAAAAGCCTTGAAGTATCCTATACCCATAAACCTGGCAACTCCGTGTATAGCCCGTGTAGGCAGCTTTGTAGACACCCTTATAGCGACCATTATAGAAACCTTTACCATAGCTTCAAAGTCACCGCTATTGTTGCAGCTATAGTAACCATTTCCTGCGAAACCACTGGAAAAAGACTGTAAAACCTGATAAGCCCCTTACAAAACCCTTTTTTGAGCAAGAAAAAGAACTATGTACTTCTTACCTTACAAAACCCTACACCCCAAACCCTGGAACCTAAACCCTAAACCCCTCCAGGCAGATAAGGCTCACAAGGCGGTCGGCTGAGCTGAAGTGGAGGCCGGTCCCCTGGAGTTGAGGAGCTGTCTGGTTCTTAAATAGGGAAGTGGGGAATGCATCCGTGTAGTAGCCCCTACATAATCCCCAATAATAGCCCCCACAAACCGACAGAGAGCTGAGGAGCAGGGGCGTGCCGTTTGAAACTGTCTGGTGCTTAGTAGAGAATGGGGGAAGGGATATTTGGACTACAATTGGGGACTATATTCGGGACTACTACTGTATAGGGTTCCTTTGAGGCTTTAAAGTACTGTCTGGTGCTTAGTAGAATGGGGGAATGGATCCCTATGATAGCCCCTTAAGGTCCCCTGTAGTAGTCCCAACAACCCCATTCCCCCATTCTCCAGGGTTCCTTTGAGGCTTTTAAATGGGATAGGGCTTTGGGGTATATTACACTAGTATCGTCATGTTGGGACTTTTCTACAGGGGATAGTACTAGCTTCACAACACCTCCGAACTTTCTCAACGACCGGGACGTCTAAGTCGGCAGAGCGTGTCGCAGAGTTGGGATAACCTATCTATTATTGTTGTCATCATAGATCATGCTAGAAGCTGCGCCTTGGACATGTTTTAAATTGCGATCCAGGGTGTGCATTTATTAGGGTTTGACATTGTGGTTCGCCTTGTCGTGAACGGTGATCACGGCTTAGTCAGCTCTTGGCACTGCTGTGGGAGCCCTTTGCTGCAGAATAAGGAAGTCAGCATGCTGAGTACTAGATGACTAGGGCCCGGACAGGCTCCGACTCCCGCGCGAATGCTTGTGCAAGCAGCGACCTTCAAGGTGAAATTCCATTTGCATCCTTCTGACCTCACCTAGCTCTGGACCTGGAGGTGCTTGTGCAAGCGCCAGGCCCCGAAAGGACAAGAAGCAAGATGCAAGAAGGTCTATTGAAACCTCCAGGACACCCAGACTCGCGTGCAGAGCTTTGTAGACTGGGGTCACAAAGACTAGGTCGGCGCCCTCTATGGCATTGAGAGTCAGTATCTTCTCACTCAGCCAGAAAAGTAATGTAGGAACCTGATTAAGAGACATTGGGCCTATAACACCAAAAATACAAGGAACTCCAATAAACGCCCAAGGTAGTTTCTTGATCAAGTTCCTAAACCCTAAGCCTAAAACATTTTTTCAGGAGTACGGCTCTGCAAAACCGAGGTGCTGGGCCCGACAGCTCGGGCCGGAGCCACAGGAAAGCGCCTCAGCTTAGCAGGGAATGGGGGAATGGATTATGGAGACTATTAATGGGGATTATGTAAGGGCTACTATAGGGATCCATTCCCCCATTCCCTACTAAGAACCAGACAGAAGTTGTCACTGGGGTGGTGCGGCTGTCGTGTTTTGTAGCAAGATAGGTGGGGTTTCCGAAGATAGGGGACCCTAATCTAGTAGAATCTAGTACCCTTAATTGTGGGATATTTCAGGATCCGTATTATAAGGACCCCAAAACAAGGCACCCCTTATTTTCGGATACTCCCATATCGGTGCATTGCAACTTGCAGGGATGTCTCCGCGGCAACCGAAGAAGGGGTTGCAACCGGCAGGGTTCAGGGTAGTGACCTACTGAATTGAAACCCGCAGCAACAGTCGGGATAATATCGAACCTTGACCCAGAACTGACAAAGCCCAGATTCTTGATCGGGCAAGGGCGGGCGGGAGATCGAAAATCAGGGCGGATCCCGCACTGCTCCCGGTCTACACGCCGGTACAACAACAATCACTGTGCTTCAGACACACAGCTACAAGTATGAACATGCCACACTGTCCAGCCACTTCGCACTCCCCAAAGACTGCCTGGCCTAGCTTGCTTCGTGACACACGACAACATCTGCATGCCACCACTTCCCGCAAACGACACTGCAAAGACGAGCCCCCCCTGCAACACGAGTCCTCACACGCCAGACAAGAGAGCAACGGCATACAAGGACACACCCAAGACAAACTACCCTAGCAAAGAGTCTATGGGATCCCTCTTTCGCCCCTCGGGTTCCCTCCGGTCCGACCCGCATCCCTAAGTACCCCCCTTAACCCTAAACCCTTCGCAGCACGGGCTTTGGTTGTATGCCGGCAGGCTGGGCTCTCAAGGTCTTCATGAGATACCAGCGAACCCTTTTCCACAGACTTGTATATGCCCGCCTAGATGAGCAAACCCTTTCTGCCACTGGACTCAAGTCTAGCCAGTCTACGACCCACAATCACTTGCTCATCCCCAAAACCCTAAACCCAGATCTGCCAAAGAGCCGACAAGACGTAACTGGTCTCTGGCTCTCTTGGGCGCTGGTACCGTAGGACAACACCCGCCTGAAGCTCGAGGTTAAGGGATGACTACCAAAGTATTGTTAGACTATAAGTATAATAAGGAACCCCCAAAATAGTATAGGTAGTTAGTGAGGCCCCTATATTTGGGTTGAAGGGATGCATACCCCAGCCACAAAGGTTAATGTAGTAGGAACCCAATTAAAAAACCTTGGGCCTTTATTAGGGTTCCTTATATAAATCCGACAATTTTGGGGTCATAGGGCCAGGGTTTCTTAATCAGGTTCCTACACTAGGGGATGAGCACCCTAGCCCAAGAAAGCTTAGCTTATCCAATTGTGGGAGGGTTCTATAAAACCCAAGTTAAAGGCTACCCACTCAGCTGCTAAGGCTCTGGGGATGATTCAGTTGTTCTCGGGTTTAGCAGAGATTTGGTAGGGCTGGAGGCAGGAGGACACACGGGTTTAAGGATGTTGCGTGTAAGGCTTCCCGCCTGTGGTCTATGCAAGCAATACGCGCGGAAAGCCTGCCATGCATGTGTTGCTGACGAAATGGTGTTAGGACAGGGCGAGGGGGCGGGGCAGTATTGTCATTTTTGGCTCCCGGTTGGCCCTGCATTGGCAGGTGTACATGTCTGGCAAGAAAACTCAGGGTCCTGCTAAAAGCAGGACATCACAAGTCCCTTCATCAAGTGAAATCAGGCCATCGAACAACCAGTACAAAAGCAGACAGGGACGATAGGGGACACTGCTACGAATGATTACGACCTCCACATTAAAGGTGGAAGCACCTGCCCAGAAGCAGCCCCGTTTGCGTGCACGCTCATTTCGTCGTACTATAGATATCATGAAGATATGGTGACGACGCTAAACTACAGAGATGTTGAGGAACCTAAACCAAGCTCATAGCGGTGTAGTGTACTAGCTGTTAAGTCGCCACAAGCGGCTACGGTTCTACGTTGATACAAAAACAATACTTATAAGGTTACAAGTCAGGTGAAACTTCCGCATCCTCGCAGAAAGAAAGATGAGTCCTCAACCATGAAGCTCATAAGCTACAGAACCCTCTCTCTCTCAAAACCTAGGAAACCTACACCGAAGCCCTCGAAGCCCCCGGAGGCCCATTAGCAACCCAGCCTTGCCAAGCATGGAAGGAAGCATCTGCTTCAAGGAGACGTTGAGCTGGCGGCCATGCATGCGAAGAGACATGCTCCCCGCCAGCTCACCTTCAGGGTCTGGAGCTTTGGATGTTTGTCATGTTCGCTTCTTCTTCTGGTGAAGCTTCGGAATCTGAAATGACCTTATGCGACTGTCGATGTTTGCAGGCTTGCGTAGAAAGGGCAGTGAGCGAAGTGCTCTGCATCAGCGCAGACCACAAGCAGCTTAGGATAGCAGTCTGGTGGTATTCAGCGTCATCCGCCGTCGAGATGTGCTACCAGCAAGATTGCCATCACGCATTACAACCTGGATAAGTTGAAGCTCAAGGTGTCGGCAAGCAGCGACAATGCTCCGACACACTGGCTGCGGTCGATGTGACCCGCGCAGTAAGACCGCTTACAACTACTGGGTCCCCGGCCCATCACATCGAGCTCCACCAGTCCAGGAGTCAAACTTGTTGTCGGGGTTTCTGTAATCTTCGCAAGCACCTCCGCATGTTGGGCAGTGCTGTGACTGACCCTCGGATGCATTGCTGTGTTTTTTGCATGCAATGTGGTTTGGCCCCCTTTGCTTTCAGACCCTTCTCCTTAACCTGGGGGGACCTCAGCACAGATCTGCAAAACTTTGTAACTGACAAGGCCAAACACTCCTCACTTCAGGGGGCAAGAGTCGTCACCTCTCCGGTCGCAGGTCTTCAAAAGCCCATTTCATGAGTTCGGTTCATTGTTCTGTCAGGAGCTGTAGAAACAAGCAATCGCAAGCAGAAAACACAGAAATACACCCGGATCCTTAAACTCCTTTGTAACCCATGTGGTGTATCCTCAGGCCTCGTCGGAGGCTGCCAGCACCACATCGTCAGGCAGCCTGGACTGCTCCAGAGACCGACCCGTGCACTCAGAGACGTGTGCAAGTACAATCGTGTACAAGCATACATACATTCATAGGTATTTTGCATGCATGGTCACATACATATGTACATACATACATGAGTCTATACACACATACAGACATACACACACACATACGTACATACATACACAGCCATATACACTATATATATATATATATACATGTATATATATATATATACACACACATACATATACAAATACACACACACGAGTAGATACATTCAGAATGCTTGCGTGTGTGCAAATGAATATGTATGTTGATAGATCTGGACATGCAAGCAATCTGACAACCTGAGCTTCACAGGGGCCACCAGCTTGCAGTGAGAAGTGAAGGTCTGAGGTCGCGTTTGGTTGTTGTCTCGTCATTTCAAACCCTTGAAGCAGGCTTCCGTCAGGCTTTGAAATCAAAACTCTGGATGGCAAAGTTTTCGCACGGCTTCTCTTTGCCGTTCATGTCCACATCTACACACGTTTCTGGGCCATGTGCACCTTGGCACCAGGACACTCGAAACCTTCCAAACACTAGACCCTAAGTTCATTAACGAGCACGCCGTCCCACCTCGTTTGCAGCGCCACCAGTCGCAATGCTAAGTCCAGCTGCGACAGCATGAAATGAACAGGCAGCACCACCTCATGAAGGAAAACGAACTGGAGTGGGTTGGTGGCATGACGGCAGCATGACCCAATGGTGCACTATTATCTTCTGATTCTGGTGCTCAGCCAGGGCGCAAAGAGGACTCTTCGCTCTGGTGGAAAGGCAAAGGAGGGCTCGACTGCCGAGGGCAGCGAGCCGCGACACTTCGCAAAGGACGGTGCCAGCTGCCCTCGGCCCCCGGCCGATCCTTGGGAGGAGCCCAGAACCCGCAGACCCACGCCCTTCATGCAGAAGTTCGCCACCACCACTTCTGGATGCCGGGCGCAGGCAGCGACGTCCAAGACGCGGGAGTCCAGAAAGCTCCTTTGGAAGATGAAGCCCCAATCCTGGGATCGTCTCAAGGGAATTATTGAATTAATGTAGGTTACTATCATAAGGAAACCCTATTATTTACTATAGATCCCCGTTAGGGTAACTTGAATTAAATTCTGAAACAAGAGCCCAGAATCCAGCAGTGGCCAGGGTTCCGGTCCTCAGCTTGCTCAGGCCCAACCTTAACCCGGGATAACCTACTGTTTTAAGGACTTATATAAGGAAATCATAATAAGGAGCCTTAAAAAGGTAGGTTCTTCAGGGTTAAGGAAGGGCTTGATAGCTAAACATTCCATGGAAGCAGCTCCCCACAAACCGGATAATAAGGATGAGTCTGTTGCGCATTCCTTTCATCATAACAAATGATAACAACAACAGTAGTAACCATAAGAAGATTCGTAATATTGGTAGTATTTAATACTGCTAACATTCTTGTGATTCTTGATTATTACTGTTAGTATGTATGGACCCTCTGGGACTGATAGTTACAACCGCGGTACAGGCGCCTTTTGGTCCGCGTCCTTTCGAGATCCCTCGAGGTCCGCAACGGGCCTGGGCCCTTGACCCCTATATAAACTGCCCTGAACCCACGAGTCCTTGGCTTTAGAGGGTTTCGGGTTTAGGATTTAGGGTTCCGATCTCTCTTGGTATCAGCAAAAACTGTCCAAAGAGCCGAGAGGCCTCCGATAGCCCGACTGGCCACAGCCGCGGCTCCCCACAAATGAAAGGCCTTGCCAAACAGCGAGGGCCTTCATAACTAGAATAGGGTTCTGGGCCGTTCTGGGGCCCTTGCTACTATAAATATACTAAGGAACTCCACAGATAGTATTGCTAGTTATTTCGGCCCCTGTGGTGCTCGAGATGTAGGGCGTTCGACTAGTGACTAATGACTTGGCTGTGGAATGAAAAGTCTGGCGCTCGCGTTGACTGGTGCAAAGGTTTTCCCCATGGAACAATCAGTCTTGGACTTGGAGCATTTCGGGTCTTTCGACATTCAGGCCATGATGTCCCGCTGCCCCGAAGGTTCTGCATCCGAACGCAGCTGTCAAAGCCAAATTGTCGGTAATGGAACATCAGACCTTCCCGCTCGCCTTCAACAGGTCAGGGAGCAGGTTCGGCGCGTGCCCTGAGACAAGGTGCTTTCAGCTAGGGTGATAAACGCGAAGTTGGAGACCACCAGTTCGGACCCTTTTGCAACTGGCTTGCAACGTCACGCCAGGACAGCTGACTCGCTCCGGGCTGCGCTCGTGACAGCAGGGGAACCCTAAACCTCAAACCCCTGAACCATGCCCACCCGAGGCTACTCTGGCGGGGGCTTGCTGTCCGTCCATTACTATCTGGAGGAGCATGGAACGTAGTACGTCAGGTTACAAGTACCTTAATTGGGGTTTAACAGGAACTATAAGTAGAGCTACCTGAACAACCGTACATACTAAGTCCCATGATACTCCAAGCAGGCCCTAAACCCTATAGATCCAAAAAAGGAACCCTATAGATCCCTCTAAGGATCCTTATAGATCCCTTTATAAGTCACCGGAGAAAGGAACGGCGAAGTGGCTAAGCTAATTCCAGTCCAGGCCGCTGCGAGCTCCACCCATCCTTGCAATGAACAGCTTCTGGGTTCTTGTTAACATCATAATTTGGGCTTAGGTTCTTGTTGAAAAATTTGATTTAAGGGTTTAGGGTGTAAGCAAATTAATTTAAGCTACCATACTGATCTATAGTAAATATAGTACATACTCTGGCTCTTTCTTAAAATGGTAGATTAAATTTGTAAATTAAATTAAACTTCTTAACAAGAACCCAGGCGTCTTTTCGGAATCTTTGCAGGGGTACGGCAATCAACGAAGCTCTAGGGCATTCAAAGGCAAGAAACCAAGACCCAACAACTTCTCACAAACGACTGGATCCTCAAGCTATCCTTTTGCAGCCTCGTCGCCCGGAAGTTTCCTCTCCCTGAACCCTAACACCCCCGAAACATCCCTAAGCCCTTGACCCTGAACCCTGACATACCATGACACCCCCCACCCCCCGGCCGGCTTTAAAGAAACCAGCAAGGGAGCAGGATCAGGGTCGCCGGCCAGAGCTCCCGCTGCAGCAGCATCTCCCAAAGCTGGGTCGGGGCCTGGGATGATATGAAGGTTTCCCAAGACAAAGGGGGCCCTAAGAAAGTAGGGTTCCTTTAATGGGTGCCATCAGGGTTCTTTTAAGGCATCCATGAGGGTTCAGGGTGTAAGGGTCCATGTAAGAAAGTACCCTAAAATGCAGGATCCTTATTATCAGGACCCCAAAACACGGTACCCCTAATTTTCCGAAACTCCGATGTGCTAAGGCTGGTCAGGCTTTGGGAACTACACAAACCACGACGCCATGACAGCCTGAGCCCAGTAGACTTCGTCTGAACTCTAGCTGGGGAATGATCCCCCCCAACAAGAAAGCCGACAAGACCCTCTCTTTTTTAGGGAGCTGCTTGAAACTACTCGTATCTCCGAAACAGATCTTGTACCCACTCGCTTTTCCAACGCTCCGAGTCTCGTAGCTGCAGACCAGGCGGACCCGCTGCCCTCAGAACGCACGGAAGGGCTGAGAGTTGAGGACTGACAGTACGAAGCTCAAAGCAACACAACAGATACACGAAAGCATACCGTTATACTATATACCGGCATCATACCAGACTATACAAAACTACAGGAACGATTTGGCTGCAGTCGAGGGAGACGGACGGAGGGAAGGAAAGATGCAGGAGGGAGAGACAGAGTGAGGCTAGAGGCAAGCGGGGCGAACATAAAGGCTACCGTTGTAACCATGCGCGGTCGGACACATACATACACAAGCACACGCAGACCTGCACGCAGTTGCACACAGCAAACGCACACTCCCACTCAGTCAATCAGTAACTCACACACGCACTCAGACCGCCACACGTGCAGGCACACACACACACACACACACACACAGCGGGGCCAGTGATTTGGACCCGCAAACAAGCTTCGGACTTGCCGGAGTCTACAAAAGCAACACGCTAATACCTTTTTTGGGCTGAGGCTTCTTCAATGCCGGCACGGCACAGTCAATACTCCCAACAACCCGACCCAGGGGCCTAAATAATCACCAATACTGTTTTGGGGGTTCCTTATTATAGTTATAGTATAATGAGCCCTCTGCAAGCGAGCATCGATTGCGCAGGTAGCCGGGGACGCTGCAGCCTCGCCGAGCACCCCGGGATTGCACGAAGACGTAGAGCCTGGGAGCTCAGAGCTGGAAGCTGAGCGGCTACGATTTAGACTTAATATAAGGGGCCTTTTAATAACTTGAATAGGGTTCTGGGGCCCAGCATACTATAGGTCTAAAAAGGCTACGATTAGACTTAGAGAGTTTGTATGAAGTCTTGTCTGAAACGGTGTTGATAAACAGTTGCTGATTCCATGTCCTCACTAAAGTCAACGTCTCTGGAATTGCATCGAAGGCTTTACTGGGGCAGTCGGGATCGGGTGGCAGGGCTAAAGTCAGCTCGGCTGCGAGGCCGCCGCACCAGCTTATGAACCCTTAATTTCTGTATGACTGACTGTACGGAGTAATCCAGGGATCCCAACAAGACTCGTAAAGCCATGTCGAAGGGGTTTGTTTTCATGCTCCAGTACCGAAGTTTCGCCGAGACGGCCTTGCAAGACGTGGCCGCTGCCGCAGAAGGCTCCTGTCAATCACCGTCTTTTGATTTTGCTGCTCGAAATGAAAGTGCTGTGCATCCCAAATTTCGTATCCGGTGCCGTCCTCAGTGACAAACCCGCAATGGAAAACAGGAATCTCTGTGTCGTGTTACACCACAACACCGCGGACAGCCCAAACCCAACCAAACCAGCAGCGTGTCCTGCTGGAACTGCTCATGATCCTGGATCGGCACGGTTTTGATGGAAACCTCCTTATAGTTTGGGGGTTAAGGTTCGAATACTATGATATACTGTATGTTGTGTCCCAAGACCCTGTTCTACTGATCTTACAGGGCCTCGACTTTGGAAGGATGCCTTCGTTCATCCCCGGGCTACAGTGACTGCACCGTCTTTCGAAAGCAAAAACAAGCGAAGCCATGAAATTCAGTGGATTCCAGCAAAGTGTGTACCACCCTTGATAACCCTTTTCTGCAGCTGGGCTCGTAGCCTGAACCCTTTTTGCCACTGGACTCAAGTCAAGCCAGTCTACGACCCACAATCGTCTTGACCGAGGCCGACATGCAGCACCGATACCCCCAGCCGCCTTTCGGAGGAGTCAAGCTGTGTGTAGCCTGAACCCTAAATCCCAAACCCTCAACCCTAAACCCTACGCTTACAATGGTTGAGCGATCCGATGCTGCCCTCATGACTCTTCCCCAGCTCGAACCAGTGGGGTCCCTGCTTTAGGAACCCTTTTCAAAAACAAACCGATGCCCCAAGGCCGTCCCTTTGCCCAAAAACTTAGCTTGAACTCTAAACCCTTGTCCTCATAGGGACCCTTAGGGGGGTTAGTGGGGGGGCCCATGATAAGAACCTAATAAAGCCTATTTAAGCAAATATAGTCCCCTTATCCCCCCTAAAGGTCCCCATGATATCCACTACCCCAGCCTTGAGCCCTATCACCCCAAACCCAGGTGGACCCTGTATGAGGGCCGCCAAGCTGAACTCCTTGCCACCCAGGTGTCCGCGAGGTGCGGTGCCGCCACCGACCCGAGGCCAATAGGACACCGACGATGCGACGTCTCTCCTGCAGCAAGAGAGTGGGGTTTGGGGTTTTCTCAAGGCTTCCTTTGCGGCTCTGAAAACCCGGACAAGCAATTTCCAATCATGCGAGGCACAAGTTCTCCAAAGCTTTCGGGTTTGGGGTTCGGCCTGGTTGTGGGTAAGGCTCTAGGATTTTGAAGCAAAGACGTTCCACGATGTGAGGGCCACGAATCAGGAACCCCCCGTGAAGAACACTCAGAAGACCATCCCGACAAGCTATCAGTCGGGTTAAAAGTCCAGGATTTGTAGGTAAAGCTTACAACTTGTAGCTTCTCATCCTAAAGACCCGTAAGTTTAGTTGATCTGCAGGTCACTGCTCACGCAAGGTCGGCTCTCTCTCATGTACCCGCGGCTCAGGCAAGTCGCGGAGAGCCACCCACGAACAGTTGTGGCAATGTTAGTGTCGTGCGCCACGAGGAGCTTGAATGCAGCCCAATATGCCTCGGTAGAGCAAGGCGCCGCTTTGCCTCAAACACTTAGCCAGACAGCCCGCAGGAACTTTGAAGTCCGAACCGATGCAGGTGCCAAAGTGCTAACGCTCCCGATTAATAAGCAATTTCAACGGCTCGATGTTGGAGACTTTAAGTACTCGCCGCAGCGCATTCCTGAACACGACCGCCATAAGCTGGCACTTGATAAATCCTCCAGTGGCGTCAGAGGTTCTGGCACCTCGCCAGGAGTTCGTGCTAGGACCGCCACACTTCCATATTGTGTAAACACTGCAACAGCATGCCGTGGTTTTGAGGCTGGGGTGTTCTGTCCGTTCGGAGGTTGATGCCTCTCGATGCTGGGGCGGAAGCCAGATCTGCTTGGAGGCCCTTTTGACTTAGTAAGCAGGCTTAGTAAGGTGGGTTATGGGGATTATAATTGGGGGATACTCAGGGTTAGTAAGGTGGGTTATGGGGATTATAACGGGGTTTCTGGGGGATACTAACTAGACTTACTAAGTCAAAAGAGCCTCCAAGTGCTGATCTCAGGCGTGGCAACATAGAGCACGCCTTTACTTAAAACCTTTCGCTGCCGCATGTGCGGTCGGTCGCAGCACACTTCATTCTCTGGCGCAGTCCTCGTCTCTGTTGTGCCTATAAATGATACTAATACTTGTGAAAATGATGATATTAACTGGTAGAAACAATGGTCATAACTATCGCAATAGCAATTTTTAACAATGCGTGAACGCAACCAAACTGACACAAATTAAAATGGCATCAATGTTAATAATAGCAATACTGATAATGATAACAATAGTTGTACGTAGCAATACCATCCACCTTCGTAAGATACCTAGTTTTCTGGTTAGGGTTGCAAATATCTGTTATATAGAAAATATGTGCACTAAAACAGGGATGGAGTATGAGCCTCTAGGATTAGTGAGACCCCGCAATAATAACATCAAGAATGATAAGAATAGCTATTGTAATATAACGATTAAAAGGTAGGAGTATAGTAATCATAATAAGAATATAAATAATATTTTAATACTACGTAATACATACATAATATATATATATATATATATAAGAATACCAAAATTTAAGGAGTGCAACCAGGACCAGTGCCAATCCCAGGAGCCGCTCCGAAGTCTGGGCCCTTCTCAGCGGGAGGCCGCTCAGAAGCGACCCACTGGTGGCTGCCTGGGGGGCAGATTTTGGTGCTTTCTGGGTTTAGGGTTTTGGGTTTTAAGGTTTAGGGTTTAGGGTTTTGGGTTTCAGGGTTTTGGGGTTGGGGGTCAGATTTTTGGAGCTTTCTGAGTTTAGGGTTTAGGGTTTTGGGGCTGGGGGTCTGTATATTATACTATAAGTATAGTCAGGAACCCCCAAAACCCTATTCTAATTATTAAGGCCTCTACCCTAAGGCTCCATAGTAGTTGTTCCTTTTTGGGGTTCATATCCAGAATCCAAGAAGAAGGTAATCCCAAAAAGGAACTACTATGGGGCCTCCGCCGAGGTTTTGGCTTTTGAGGCTCGGCTCTGAAGGGTTTAGGGTTTAGGGTTCAGGGCCGAGGGTTATAGTTTTTTTTGTCAAATTCTTTTTTGCCTCCTACCTAGCAACGACGAAGCCCGCATTGCAGGGAGTCTTGATTGAACAGCTGGACAAAGCCTTTTTTTTCAAGTTTAGGGTTTAGGGTTCAGGGTCGAGGGTGATGGGGTTTAGGTTTTTTCAAGGTTTAAAGGGGTTGAGGGTTTGAAGGCGTATTCTTTGACACTCGCACTCCACCCAAACCAGACATGTTTGGGGTTGAGGGACTTCAGGCTGGGGCTTTGCAGGATCATGCCCTGAGACCCCGTCTGGCGCCCAGGTGCTAAAATACGGCATGAAGGCGGCTGTCCGAAGTGGATCCTCGCTGCTGTAGGCTGCGATCCGCCGAAAAGAGGTGCCTCAGAGCAATACCAACCGTGAGCCGTCGTCTATGGAGTCAACTGCTACGACGACATTGGAGGGTTCTGTCGCGGACTCTGGGTCGTGGACATGCAGGCGGAGGCGTCGCTGCGAACCCCCTGTTACTCTTGCCAGATGGGAGTTTCCGAATATAGGGGACCCTAATATGGTACCCTAAATAGTAGTACCCTGACTTTAAGGAACCCAAAATAAGGTACCCCTGATTTTCGGAAACTCCCAGATGCGGAGGAGGCACTGCCATCCGATGCCCGGCAGACCTGAGTCTTCAAGCCCTACTACAACAAGTTGCCATGGAACGATGAGAACCCAGACCTTCCAAAGCCCCTTAATTAAGGAATATACCTTAGTTCATACTAGGATCCTATTATAATTTAAGGTATATTCCTTAACTAAGGGATTTTGGAAGGTCTCAGAGACATTCCTCCAAGCTCCAAAAGCACCACAGCATCGCAAGGACCGGCCGAAACAAATACTTAGGAAAGCTCCGATCGCTTGCTGTTGCTTGAGGAGAGGTATAGGTTAGAAGCTGCCCCCACCCTGTAATAGTGACCATAAGGATTATATAGGATTATATTAGGGCCCTATTATGTTCCTATTATACCACTGTTACAGGGTGGGGGCAGCTTCTAAGGTATAGGTCGATGCGAACACCTTCCGGCAGAAAACTGGTTGCAGCCTTTCAGGCACTCAAAAGTCCAAACTAGCAGAACCTTGTTCGCATCTCTGCACCCTTCCCTCCCCAAACTTACCCAAAGATCTTATAAGGATTATATACCTTAAGTAATAATCAAGGGGTTTAATATTATGATCTAAAGTATATTCCTTAATCAAGGATTATGCCTTATTATTTGGGGGTTTAATATTACGACTGAAAGTATATTCCTTAATTCAGGGGTATTGGGTTCTCTGGGGAAAAGCCTCTCACGCGCCCCACAACACCCGAGACGAGCCGTCAGCGAAGACCCGGGGCGCGGGCGCGGAGCGTGGCTTCGGACCCAAGGCATCGCTGGTGCTCCTCAACGACAGCCTTCAGGGCTCCATCTTCTTGTCTTTGGAAACCAGGGGGCTTGGTGAGTCGGTTAGGGAAGGAATCGTCTGAAGCTAAAACTGCTACAAGCCCACAATAACAAGTGCTTATGGCGCCGGATACAACATGCTTCAACATGCATACGACGTGCCTTCATCCTGGCCTTGTGCGTTCAAGTTCAAGTTCCTCTAAGTAGAGCTTTGGCCCCCACAATGCCAGGTCGAAGCAGCAAGGCACAAGGCGCAAGGCTCACATCAGAGGTTGAAGGGCTTCTGCACGTTTCTGCCACAGTGTTCATGGGTTTCGTCGTTTTGCCGTGGTTTGTAGGAGCTTTAACTAAAAAAGTTTTCCAGGTTTGGGAGTGGACTTGCCGTCGGCACGGTGGGAAACATCTCTTGTCAGGAGAACCACCATATTCGGCACCCAAGCCTGGTGAAAGGCCTCAGGCGCTCTACGAAGGTGGGATTTTGATGAAAGCCTCGGAGCCCTGAACGGGCAACTCGGGCCATATTTTTCGTAGGTGACATTTGGCGCAGTCCAGTCGGGTTCTTGGCGAAGTACTAGCTTCACTCATATTTCTGAGTCCTCTGAGTCTGAGAAGAGAGTGCATGTGCAGCTGAAGTTCGGATTCAAATGCGTTCCGGCAGTCTAGATCAACATTAGCATCTTTTCTGGTCTGTAGATTGGCTCTTCGATCGCACTTTGCATCGTAGTCAACGGTATGACTTGAGGCTTTGGCTTCCGTGCTCCGTGTCTATCTGACGTGGGATGAAACGGCAGATACTCACAAAGTCTACTCCTTCAACCAGAGAGCCCTCGCAAACTCATGATCAGCATACCCGGCACACTACACAGGTGGAAAGTCGCAGTCCACGTGTCACTAGCAGGCCTCCATATTAGCATCGCTGCCATCTGACAACCTCAAAGGATGAAAGACCCGAGACCGGAGGAGGCTTACATGGGTGGCTATCAAAATTAGGGTCCTTTTTTGGGTCCTTAATTACGGCACCTATTATCTAGGGTACCCAAAAAGGGACCTTAATTTTGACAACCACCCACATGCATCTTCACCTCCGGAGATCATGCGGGGGGGGGGCTTGTTCACGTGAACCCCCACATGTCGGCTTCGAGGACTTTTCACTCCATGTAATGATACATCTACAAGCCTGGTTACCTAATCTGCTAATTCAGCTGCATCCTCAAACCTTCAACGGTCGACCGATCGAAGTCTAGGGCGCCCGCACGATGACGGTGGCAGCATCCTCTTCGAATTGCAGCACCGTCCGCAAGGTCGTGGCCCAGGAGCATGGAGCGTCCACGCCGCAGCCCTGAAAAACCTGAACGAGTTCACCCTCCATTGGTTCAGTTCTACCCTTCGTTGTGCTTAGGGTTCAGGTTTTGGTTCTACCCTTTATCGGTCATGCTGTGAGGGCGGCTTTGTGAGATCGGGATCTGGAGGGCATCAGAGCTAGCAAAGAATACGACCTCTACACTACTCATGGTAAGTCGCGAAACCTAAGCCCTCAATTCTGCGATGCGGGCACCGACCGAGAAGCTGAATTTCAGGGCGCCCGAATCACAGCCCATTGATCCCTGAGTGAAGGTAAACTCCCGGCACGCTGATGAATTATGAAGTGCAGCAGATTAGGATGTCCTTAAGGGGGGGTAGGTAACCTAGTAATCCCCATTATTCCCCAATACTCCCTAAGCTTCCCTAAGGTTCCCCAAAGCTCCCTAGTACCCTCCCCCCTTGAACCACCCCCCCTTAAGGATCCTATAAAGCAGAGCTACCAGATCCATGCTGAGGCCCGAAGGCCCTGGCAAAGTCGTGGAAAAACCACCGGGCACGGTCATATCGGGCGTCTTGCCTGGCCTGCAAGGGTGATGAACCCACGTAGTGATACTAGTGTGTACATAACTATATATGTTTATGTATATATATATATATATATATATGTATGTATGTATGTTTTACTGCATCATAGTACAGTATAAACCAGTATAATATACATATGACACATAGATAGACAGTTATAGACATTCATATCGAGACAGATATAGAGATCAAGCTACAGTAGTGCAAGCATCCTAATGGTTGTACAGCAGCCCAGCACCAGGCCTTTTCCGAAGGAGCGATTCTGCATCTGCGATGTTTCCAAACCTTCGTTGGCGAAAGGAACTTCGATGAAGAGCCATGTTCAACACCGAAGCTGTGCAATCGTCATCGCCGAACTAGAGCTTGCAATGCTTACAGAGACTCTACATGCAGCCAATCAGGGAGGGAGCGAGGCAAAAAGAGAGAAGGACCCCCAAACATCCGACCTTCGACCTCTTGTGTCTGTTCGCCGGGATTCAGCATTCAATCCCATGCGCAAGCGGCTCACAAGCTCACTCTTCGTACCTTTGGTTAGTAGGGAATGGAGGAATGGGGTACAACTATAAGTACTACTACTACTACTACTACTACTACTACTACTACTACTACTACTACTACTACTACTACTACTGCTACTGCTATTACTACCATTCTTCCATTCCCTACTAACCAAAGGTAAGTCTTGCAGGTATCAGCTAGATCCATCCGAGCTGCAGGTACAGCGCATGCGGGCCGAAGCCAGGCTTCCGCTGCAGCCGTCGCAGCAGCCGCCGAAGTGCCTTCACACTTTGCCAGAACAAAAATCAACATAGTACAATGGGCTCCGAAACCATATTCCAATTATTAAGGCCCCTATAGTAGATTTGCCAAATGGAGATGAGAAGCCCTTGATCTGGAAGTTTGGATCTCGGATGCCTGCACGTCGGTCTCGAGTCTGGGCTCGGGGTGACAAACTTCCATCTGGCAAATCTAGAGCATCTCGGCTCTGCGAGTTTGAGAGTTTAGTTTGGTTCCAAAAGCCCAGGCAGGCTCCGCAGCTGTCAAGATCCAGCCCGCGCAACAGAGCAAACCAAGACCGAAGCAATCTTAACTGCTTAACTTCGTTCTATATAAGCTGGCAGCTTCAGTTTTGCGCTTTGTCGTGCCTGCGAAGCATCCTGAGCCCCCGATCCAGCCAGCGGCGCCACCACGGCCACGCGGTCCTGCAGAAATCCGCCGCTCTCAAGAGGAGCCCCTGCTTGCTACGCCGTAGGCAGTGGGGAGCTGCAAGAAACTGCCCAGAGAGCCCAATACCCCTTAATTAAGGAATATGGCTTAAATTATATAGGGTTCATATTATGATTTAAGCCATATTCCTTAATTAAGGGGTATTGGGCTCTCTGGGTGTGGCTGAGAACTTAAGGCTCCTCCGGATCCCAGAGGCTGGGCATGTTCTCCATCAGTGAGGACATGCAAGCAAAGAAGTTCCAGTGGTTGTCTGTGCCGGCGCCCCCCTGGAATAGGGCATCGGAGCGGAAGCCAAAGCTGAGCGGCTTGGCACCGAAACGAGAAGTCAAAGCCTCTCGCCTCCGACCCTTCCGTGCCAGGTGAGCAGAGAGCCACAAGTCGTCGTGCAGCTTGCAGTATTCGGAGAAGCCGGCATAGTCAAAGACGCTGCTGTCAAAGAACTTCCGCTGAAAAAGTACGCCATGCACGCCCTCCATGACGGGACCATTCAGGTAGCTATAGGCATGCTGAGTGGCTGCTCCAATTGTGCGACCTGGCAGAGGACTTGTCGCCTTCAGCAAGCTCTCCACCAACTTCCGTCCGTACTCCTGGTCGTCATCGACCTTTTAGGGTTTAGGGTTTAGGGGTTTAGGGTTTATGGTTTAGGGTCACCAACTTCCCTCCGTACTCCTGGTCGTCATCGACCTCAAGGGCCGGCTCCCTCCCACGAAAGTGGCCAAGGATCAGAAGGTAGGTCCCGAGCAAGAACCCCCCCAAAAAAACAGTCTGTCCCATATTAACCATATATATATATATATATATATATATATATATAGGACATGCAACTCAACTTCCGATAGCATTTCTTACATCCACGCCAGGATAAAATACGAGTAACCTGTATTTGGCGAAGGCCCAAAAATCCCACCATCCACCCCATCAATGGTTAGCCAAGAACCCTCGAGAACCACCACTGCCTGCCTGGAGTATGTAGGTGTTGGGATCCAGCTCCACCTTGAGCACCTCCTGAGGAAAAACGTTTCTTAGCATGTCGCTATTTCCGTTTTGGGACGTTTGGAAGAAGCTGCCGGGTAGTCGGCCCTCGATGCAAACTTTTAACACTGATCAAACTCAACAGTGCCCGGGGCGTCCCGGCTGCAACACCGCAGGACAACAGTAGATCGTTCTTGGTGGAGTTTAGCTCTTAAGAACTTAAACTTTTTACAAAAGTTGTGGGTGGCTTCTTTGGGTGGGATAATTAGAGCTCCACCTTCGTGACGAAACTCGCTTGCTCCTGAAAGTTTCTGACGTACGTCGTAATGACTCCGCTCCACGAAAAAATTATACACCTACCGCGGAAGACCCCTTGCCTGCATGTGTGTGGCAGGGCCAGAGTCTTCGCATCGGCGCAGGTGAAAGTTTTCTGCCGCCGCCTCAGCTCGAACCGAACACCAATTACGGCCAGGGTCCAAGTACCTAACAATCATGTACTCATCTACGTAGCGACTATCCCAGAACCGAGTACCAAATGATTGAGTCCTTTGGACCCTTGGGGTTACAGCATCTAAGGCTTTTGGGACTCTCAGGTCTTTAGAAGGCCTGGGAATCGCGCTTTAGGGTGTTTACGGCTCAGGGCTTCAGCGTTTTGAGGAACGGAACGCAGCAACCCGTGTCACGACGACGGCGGAAGAGTAGCATATGTTCTGGTATTGAGTACAAGGCCGTCCATCGATCAAGAATCGCTTAACAACATGACCTCTGCGTGCTGAATCTACACAAGCAATAAAGCACTTGGTATCAAGACCGTATCTCACGAATAGTTCAACTCGGCGCTTCAACCAAGCACAGAGAGTCAGGCATGTTCCGCAAGGGTTTTGGGGTCTCAGGCTTCTTGGGTTTCAGGCTTGAGAGTATGGTCCAACCAAGGGTTCCTGGCTTTCTTGGCATAGTTATTTAAGCCAATGGGGCACTCGAGTCTCTATGACTCTACGCATTTTTTGGCGCGACTAGACCGGCAAACCACGGGCATCTAGTCCAGTCAGTCGTGACAAGTAGAAAAGCTTTGATTAGTGGTGGCAGGAAAGTCTTCAACAATCCGAATCGGTGCAACACCTTAAACCCTAAACAATAAACCCTAACCCGGCATCCCCCATCACCCCGCGGCCTTCTGCTGCAACCAGGGAGGAAGGACGTACCTGGACTTGCAGAAAATACTGCTGTCTCACAACACGGCCACCCACCGAAGACTAGGGCACAGGGGTGAGAAAGCCCTGCTCCGGGGCCGAACAGCACAGGGCCTATTGTGACCTCTGCTGCGAGGCAGCTCTATCGAGCTCTTCCCGACAAGCCTCTGAGGCCATTCTGTGCATGTCAGCTCGAACGACAACTTCGTCACCAAGAAGCTTCCGCACTGTTGTCTTGCTTTTGTTCCTTGCCCGAGTTCTGCAATGTGGCATCCCTGCCACAGCATTACGGACTGCGCGTGTGGATCTGCTTGGCTTCAGTCTACGCCAGAATAGCCTTCGATCATACTTTGCACTAAACGCTGCTCCAAACCACTAGGCGAAGGCATATTGCAAAGATGCAGCTTCCAATCCCACAATGCTGGCCACGGCGCTGGCTGCCGTCCCGCAGGAAGACGTGGGGGACAAAAAGGTAGACTGCATCCAAAGGCCTCCCATCGGTTTTGGCTTCGGCGGGGATTTGCTTTGTGCTGGCCACTTCGCCACAAGTCCTTCCCACGTCCTCCCAACAACCCGAAATACAGCTTCAGAACCTCTCTGCTCAAAGACTCCTAGAGCGATCGCAGGAAACGAAGCCTTCGACAGGTTGGTACCATGCTATGAGCTTGCTCTCACGAGCAGCTTCCCCAGCAACCCTTGAAATAAGGTAACATCGGGGAGCCAGAACTTCAAGACAGTCCTGTGTCATGCTAGAAACACAAAATGAACCAAATAATAAACCCAGTGATCAGTAGACAACTTTGACGGCCTGCTCTGATTTAGGAGGCTGTCGACGACACGCTCGATCAGCTGAATCCGCGTCCTAGGCGCCAGGGATCCGTCAGTTTGTTCAACTGCCCGACCGGGCAGCAGACCTCCAACACATTTAAATCACTCTTCCTCTCTACCACTGCCGACCCGACCTCCTCCACCTCTTTCGCACTCACCATCAGGAATTAAGAGCGCTGCGATGACTATGTAAGCCACAGCTTATCAGCCAAGAACTCTTCGCGGACCACCTGGCGTCTCTCCGCCAATGCACTCGAAAGCCTCGTCTTCCCCCATGCAACCGAGTGGAGACGAAGCTCGGAGTGGTTGTCATCGCTGCCACTACGCGATTGCTGCCCTGCCCGGGACTGCCAGAAGTTATGAGATTTAGAGTTTAGGGGTTTGGGGTTTAGGGGGGGGCTTTGGCCTTGCAACAAGACGAGTCTCCATCACTGCTTTAGAGTTGGCTGATGTGAGGACGTTGGCAGGGGCCGGGGGTGCCGACTTCGCGATGCAGGGCCCATGTATACCTTTTGGATGGAGGGCAACACTAAGTGTCGCGCCAAAACCAGTTGGGCATTGCAGTTTGGGCTGTCTTGCAAGACTGGAGCGTCCTAGCAACCGCCGGCACGGCAGTCTGCACTCTGCAATTACAGACAGTGCATTGCGCCTACATGCCATCTCAAAGCTAGCAGCTGCGCACCTGAATGTCTTTCGACCCCCATAAGCGCAGCTCCTGGGATTCATGGATGGATGGTACTCTTCCAGGGACGACATGGACGCTGCACTGTCACTCGATCGAGGTTGAAGTGTGCATGCACACATGCGCAAGAACGATCCTAGCTTCGTGACGCCACGGCCACTGGGCCTGGGCCTTGCCTTCTGCACTCTAGTGCTGTGCTCGCGCTCACCGAAATCCGAAGGTCGCCGAAATTCAATCTTCAACCCTAAAACTAAACTCTCTCGCATACTCTCTGTCTTTCCTTCTGTATTATACTCTCTCTCTCTCTCTCTCTCTCTCTCTCTCCCTGGGATTTTCCGAAAACAGGGGACCCTAAAAATAATGGGATCCTTATGACAAGGGAAACTCCCTTCTCTCTGACGCTCTGTCTCTCTCTTCTCAGGCCGGCACTTGCATCAGCTGTCTCTCGCGAGGAGAACCCCATGATTTGCTGAAGAAGATGTCCTGCCGGCTTCACTGGGGTCAAAGCCAACTAAAGCCGTACCGTGACAACGCGGTTGCACAGCTGTGTCCTCAGGCTCGGAGTTCACATCAGAAAACCAATGTAAAATCATTTCCCAATATCCCACGGCTCTCGACCCTTCTTGATTGACAGTAAACAGTCATCATGCATGCCTGTTGCTGCAAATCAGCACAGCACTCACCATCCAGGTCTTCAATCGATTGGTGCGAAGTTGCCTTCTGCAGCGTTTTTTCTGCATCGGCCACAGGCAGCCTCTCGATGCTGCACAGCATGTTACATCTTATATCTGTGAAGTGTGCCGAAATGATCGTGTGATGCGTCGGTGTTGCAGAAGCTCACCTCGAAACCCAATATAGGGGCCTGAACAATTACATAGGGTTTGGGGGGTGTATTACTTGAAGGATCATGGGACTTAGTAAGTGGGGATACAAATACGGCAAGTATACTTATAACTACTTATGACCCCAATTAAGGTACTTATAACCTTACTTGCTAAGTCCAAGTCTACCATATCTATAAAAAGGAGCCACCAAAACCCTAGTCTAATCATTAAGGCCCCTGCATAAGGCGGAGCTGCCTGGAAGCCAGGAGTGAGGCCAGCAGCAGCCATGGAGCTGCGAGGTCAAGCCAGATACCTCACCAGGCACAAAAAAAAGGGGGCCTGAGTAGTTGGAACCGGGCTCCTTTATAGGGTTCCGTAAAGTCTTAAAGGGGTCTATAAGGGATCTCTAGTAGGCTTCTATGGCATAGGGGCCTTAATAATTAATTAGAATAGGGTCTTGGGGCCATTATACTATACTTATAACAAGGAACCTCCCAAATGTGTAGGTAGATATTTAAGCCCCTATCGTATCCTTTATCAATCTGTATCTATCTTTGTCTGCCTACCTAACTACGTATGCAACGGAGCGGCGGATGCTGATGATGCACGCGGCAGTCTGAGCCAGCTGCACTGGGACAGCTGATGCTCATGATGCTGCATGGTTAGCCCTACCCCTACCCAAAAACCGCTGCAACAAAGGACAGTTGCCTGTTGCTCATGATGTTCGGTGCTGAGAAGAAGTAGGGTGGCTGATGCTCACGATTCTCGCTGTGCGCTTATCTACCAACCGACAGCCGTAAACATGGGGGACGGCGGCCGCTCTTCGTGATCGCTGCTGCACGGTTGGCCCCACCGCTGCAACATTCGGGCGGCTGATGCTCATGATGCTCGCTGGGATGTTGGCCCTGCTCCAACGCAACTGATGCTAATGATGCTGGTGGCAGGGCGTGTCTAAGCTGTAACACTGGGCCGGCTGATGCTGATGATGCTCGGTGCAAATGTGGCCCCACCCGAGACGGTAGCGGCTGATGCTTATGATGCTCGCGGCAGCGTCTGATGCTCATGACCCGGGCTGCAACGATGGCGCTGCCCGATCGTGACACGGTCGGATCTACCTCACACAGCTGCAAGACCGTGGCGGCTGATGCCCTGATGCTCGCTGGGATGTTGGCCCTGCCCCGACGCAACTGATGCTAATGATGGTGCCCCACCCGATACGGTCGCGGCTGATGCTTGCGATGCTCGCGTACTGGGGCGTCTGATGCGCTCATGACCCGGGCTGCAACGTTGGCCCGGATCTACCTGCACACAGCTGCAAGACGGTGGCGGCTGATGCTCATGATGCTCGCTGGGATGTTGGCCCTGTCCCAACGCAACTGATGCTAATGATGCTGGCGGCAGGGCGTGTCTAAGCTGTAACATTGGGGCGGCTGATGCTGATGATGCTCGGTGCAAAGGTGGCCCCACCCCAGACGGTCGCAGCTGATGGGTCGTCTGATGCTCATCGCTACACGGTCGGATCTACCTACACACAGCTGCAGGACTGTGGCGGCTGATGCTCATGATGCTCGCTGGGATGTTGGCCCTGTCCCCACACAACTGATGCTAATGATGCTGGCGGCAGGGCGTGTCCAAGCTGTAACACTGGGGCGGCTGATGCCGATGATGCTCGGTGCAAAGGCGGCCCCAACCGAGACGGTCGCAGCTGGTGCTTATGATGCTCGCGCCAGGGTATGCTCATGACCCGGGCTGCAACGATGGCGCTGCCCGATCGCTACACAGTCGGATCTACCTACACACGGCTGCAAGACTGTGGCAGCATCAGCTCATGATGCTCGCTGGGATGTTGGCCAACTGACGCTAATGATGCTGGCGGCAGGGCCTGTCTAAGCTGTAACACTGGGGCGGCTGATGCTGATGATGCTCGGTGCAAGGGTGGCCCCACCCGATACGGTCGCGGCTGATGCTTGCGATGCTCGCGTACTGGGGTGTCTGATACGCTCATGACCCGGGCTGCAACGTTGGCCCGGATCTACCTGCACACAGCTGCAAGACGGTGGCGGCTGATGCTCATGATGCTCGCTGGGATGTTGGCCCTGTCCCCACACAACTGATGCTAATGATGCTGGCGGCAGGGCGTGTCTAAGCTGTAACACCGGGGCGGCTGATGCTGATGATGCTCGGTGCAAAGGTGGCCCCACCCCAGACGGTCGCAGCTGATGGGTCGCCTGATGCTCATCGCTACACGGTCGGATCTACCTACACGCGCAGCTGCAGGACTGTGGCGGCTGATGCTCATGATGCTCGCTGGGATGTTGGCCCTGTCCCCACACAACTGATGCTAATGATGCTGGCGGCAGGGCGTGTCTAAGCTGTAACACTGGGGCGGCTGATGCTGATGATGCTCGGTGCAAAGGTGGCCCCACCCGAGACGGTCGCAGCTGGTGCTTATGATGCTCGCGCCAGGGTATGCTCATGACCCGGGCTGCAACGTTGGCGCTGCCCGATCGCTACACAGTCGGATCCACCTCACACAGCTGCAAGACGGTGGCGGGTGATGCTCATGATGCTGGCTGGCATGTTGGCCCGGCCCCAAGCTAATGATGCTGGCCGCAGGGCGTGTCTAAGCTGCAACA